GTTTTGTATTTACTTTTTATTTTTAAAAATATTTTGGTAGTAAATAAATAGCTAAAMGTTAAATTCTTTAATAAAATAAAAAATAAAGATGACTTATTTTACATAGTCGATTTATATTTTGGTTGGTTGATTTTTTACTTTGTTGATTTATTTATACAGTTGATTTATTATTTTTATGTTTGTCGACTTAATTTTCAGTTTCGTCGACTTATTTTTAACTGTTGACTTATATTTCGTTTGATTGACATTTTAAATTATCGACTTATTTAAACCTCTGAMTTACTTTTGTAATTCGTCGACTTAAATATTTTTTTTGATCGATTTATTTTAAACTATCGATTTATATATTGGTTGATTGACTTTTTACTTTGTCGGTTTATTTAAACCATTGACTTAATTTTTATGTTCATCGACTTGACATACTATTATATATGACAAAAATTTTATTAGATTATTAGATAGATGATATATTAGTTTTACATATTATAAATCAATTTTAAATAAAAATTAAGAAAATTAAATCATTTTTTTTCTACCTTAATCTTGTTAAGTAAGGATAGATACGTCATTTCAACCCTTAAAATATGGTACTTTTCAAAGTGTAACAAATTTGGTATAGATTTCAAATTTTCAATAAGATTTAGGGTATACAAGCCAATTTTCCCAAATAAAAATCCCAAGAAAAAAGAACCCTTCAAGTACCGGTTAAAAAATCTAGTTAGATTTCTACCTTATCATTAAGAACAAACTGAAATATATTTACTTTATTTATTAAAAAAGGAGGAAAAAAAAGAGAGGACAAAATGGATACTGTAGAGACTATAAATAGGATCGAGAAGAAGAACTTTAAACTTGTTTCAATCATGAACTACTCGCCTTCTCCAACTTTTTAAACTCATCATAATAAATTAAAAAGGTAGCCGAAATAAATAAAAACAAACTACTCTATACTCCTATAAAATAAAAGTCTATTTATCTTTCCTTTTTAAAAAAATCCAAAATCCTATAAAACTCATAGCTTCTCTGTTCTTTACTTATACCTCACGTTATACATATAGTTTCTATAAATGCTTCTCTTTCCTCTCGAATAATCTTCCTACACTTCCTC